CAAGTGTATTCTTTTCTGTTTCACTGATGGAGCTACTTCAGTCATGTGTGCAAAAAGAGACTGTTACTACTAACTTCTTACTATCACGGTAAGCATTGAGTTTTTCAGCTCAACTTATCTCACTTTTATGACGTGAATCGGTAATTGTAATTATCTATTTTCCCATTAATCGTATTAATGCTTCTGTCTTCTTCCATACCCCTTAGATTTTACACTCTACTTTATTCTTTTTGATGGGGAGCAATTTTTTCACCTATCTGTGCTATTCTGCACAAATATAGTTCTTGATCATTTCGGCATACAAAACGAAGTGTGTGTATGTGTGTATATACACGGTCTACTTAGTCTATTCGATTTACTCATAAGTAAAAACACAGTTTTTTGTTCAGCGAAGAAATTTCTTTCCAACGTAGAACTGCGAAGTCATCTATCTGTGATCACCTGTTGGAGTCAGGTCATTTAGCCCCACGTGATTCATCTTTCAAAGTCATCTACATGGCAAAATCGAATCGATCCAAAAGTTTACGTTTTCTTCACTTATGCATAGCCGAAGCTTTAGCTATACATGAACAAAAACCTAAATTATGTGTTCAAAAACGTTTTGTCAAACCCCTTTCTTTACCTTGGTCATAGTAATGTTCTTTCTAGTTTTTATTTTATTTTACCACTTGAATTCTTTCCACTTCACTTCACATCTTCATTCTTATCGTAATCGTACTCCTAATTTTTTGAAATTTTTAGACAACACTTGACATTTTTAAAACATTTTTGATTTCAATTCACTTATAAAACAATCTTTAATAATTTTGTAATTTATCCACTTCAACTCTACCCTTTATAACATTTTAATTATCATTATTCTTATCACATATATGTATATTGACTGAGCAATTATTTAGTGCCACTTAATAACCTTTTCTGTAATATAAATATGACTGTACAGCTTGAAAATGAAGTCGTTGAAAAGAAATTTCTTCGCTGAACAAAAAACTGTGTTTTTACTTATGAATAAATGGGTATTCGATTTACGTCCGCCAATTCTGCTGTTTTGTTGTTTGTAAGAACTTTTCAGGAATATTTAACTTTCTTCCATTCGAAAAATGAGATGACCACCTAAGCAGTGATTTATTCCATACGCATATTTGAGCTTTTGTGAAATCTGTGATACTTTAAGATGATACCTTAACCACGTGTAACTAGTCCTCAAATATCATTTACCTATACATTTTTCTCATTTTTCATATATATATATATATATATATATATATATATATATGATTAAAATTTCCCACTGAGCGTTTCTTTTGATACCCCGCGGATTTGATATAACACTAACTATGTTATGAATAACATTAAGTGTCATTATTTAGATAGTTACTCAAATGGGATATGTATTTATATATACTTATTTTTCTTCCTTCACGTTCCCCAGTGGAACATAGGGATTCAAGCTAGTGGCTTGAAGTTTCTGTAGCAGTGTTTATTTTACAGGATGGGGTTGCTAGCCTCATGCCCAACCTTTCCTCTTCACCAGGATTATTTCTGGCTTAGCGAGGTAAAGGAGTGCGTCCAGTGGCCGGGGATCGAACCCCAGACTATGTGCATGGTTGGCGAGCGTCCTAACCGCTATACCACCAACGCACATACTTATTTTAGCTGACTTTTAAAACTGGTCAATAAGCACCCTAATGATTACTTATGGTACACTTTATACTTACACTACACAGTATCTCCTAATGTGGTGGTATGATACAGACAGTGGGTTCCAAAGGAATATTATTCTCACAGTAGGAATCATTGTATATGTTGGTGTTAACGTATGAATACTATCCCCACAGTTCAATACTGCATTAGCAACGGAATACTATGTGTGTATTTGAACATTCTATTTCATGGCGTTTGATGTCAACCAAAATCACAATCTCACAGATTGGTTACAGAAATATAAACTGTATGGATATAAATGGCAGTTTGATCACTTGAAAATATACCTTTACTTCCGTGTCTCTCCTTCTACACTTACACTACTATAGGTTATTTTTCCCACTCTAATGAACCACTGGATATCATGCAATCATCAGTATGAGTATGCATCGATGATTGGTGATAGAATACTCACCAACAACTGACTTTGATTCGTGATCGATGCGCTAAAAGTGTTTTGGTATCTGTGAGCTTGTTTAGGCCTACTAGCGCCCAGCTATGCTGTCTTGCTATTAGCCCCAAAATCCTATAGTAAACACAGCACAAGCTATATAGACGATATGAGCGTGAGTTGACTGGTACTCATGGCTCGCTTATATGACTGTGTGTGTGTTTTCTCTAGTCTTGGCAGACGTATAGAAGCTATTTGCATACTAAATTGGTTGACAGGGTTAACGATTTCACTGAATTTGGTGGCTGCTCGCTTCGTTTATAGCGGCCTATTGTCACTGTAGCGTTGCTATGCGTGCTACTTTTGCATATAATAATACGTTTGGCTAGTCTTGTATGCGAGATGAGTTCTATTGGGCTTGTCTATGCACTGCATAATTGATTGACGCGATCAATGATCGGTGTAACAATGCTTACCTATCATTAATATACTAACTGTGCGAATGGTCCACCGAGGGAGAGGGCTCTCGAATGGTTGCGCCACAGTATGATACTGCATGCCGGTCTCGTCTCGCAGGAGGCAGGGATGGGTGTGTTTGGTCCTCCTGAAAACCAATACCCAGTCAATGGGTGTATCACTGTGTGAATAAACTGGTTGATCCTGCCAGTAGTCATATGCTTGTCTCAGAGATTAAGCCATGCATGTTCAAGTACATACCTTAAAACGGGGAAACCGCGAATGGCTCATTAAATCAGTTCTGGTTCCTTAGATCAAATTTGCTACCTGGATAACTGTAGTAATTCTAGAGCTAACACATGCAATTATCAAACCGCATTGGGAATGAGGTTGGCAACCCGACGCGGTTACTGAAAATGTAAAGCTCATACCTGAAGCCCTATGCTCCACTCTGAACGCAAAATGAATGATTTATGAAGGTATACCTACATATTTAATATTAGTGAGATCTTGTCTTGAAAAAAGTGATAAAAATTTTTGTTATCTGCAAACAAATTGTTGTAAAAATTGGCAAATGAAGTTTATTATTAAGGAAAGTTTTACCCTAGTGATTCATATTTTTTGCAAATTATTGCAAGCTTAAGTGTCTACTTGAAGATATTTGGTAGGTGGTAACTAGCAATGGAGTCCATGGTATACATTGTGTCCTACTCAGGACTCATCATTTCGAAGTGCCTGCATTCCCCAGTGAGTGATGGTAATCGCGGTACCTATAGTTTCAAATACCAAAGCGTAGGCCACTTGGCCCTTGAGAGTTACCCCACCCCTTGTGCAACCGGTGTCAGTTATTTTTTTTTCCTTCACGTTCCCCAGTGGAACATACGGCTTCAAGCTAGTGGCTTGAAGTTTCTGTAGCAGTGTTTATTTTACAGGATGAGGTTGCTAGCCTCATGCCCAACCTTTCCTCTTCACCAGCTTTATTACTGGCTTAGCGATGTAAAGGAGTGCTTCGGCCGGGGATCGAACCCCGGACCATGTGCATAGTCGGCGAGCGTCCTAACCGCTATGCCACCGACGCACATGGTGACATTACGCTTAAGCTTTTTTAATTCATTTTTGATTATCCCATTGACTGACTGGACTAAAATGTTCAGCCAGTGTTGACATGTAGGCGCTTCTAGTACTACAGAGGTTGAACATTTTGGTCGAATCAATCAAGGGGAAAATGAAAACTGCGAATTCACATAACAGATAATCAGTGTATACTGTTGACTAAATTATTTCATAACAACAGGTCACCCTTCTGTGACAGTTTAATAGTTAGCTGAAAAACACCCAAAATAACACACAGATACGATTTCATTTAAATAAATATGCCCATTATAAATTTCAAAAGACAGATTAGAGTATAAAAAGAATGTTCTTTTCGATGACTTCGTCTCCATCAGGTACTGCATATACATATCCATAATATTTAAGGAATTATTGTCACTAACAGTATCGAGTCATTGAGAACAATAGATTACAATTCAAAACATGTGTATGTAGTAACATGCGTGAATATAACACTAAAATAGATACCAGATAAATTAAGAATTGGTCCACCGAGGAAGAGGGTTGTCAAGTGGTCGTGCCACATTATGATACTGCGCACCGGTTTTGTTTCGGAAGAGACAGGGATAGGTGTGTTCGGTTCTCCTGAAAACCAATACCAAGTCAGTGGGTGTACCATTATGTGAATTAAGAATGACTCGCTGACTACGAATTTGGTTGGGAATTCGATCCCCAGCCGACGCACTCCTTTACCTCACTAAGCCAATCATAAGACTGGTCAAGGGGTAAAGTTGGGCATGAGGCTAGCAACCCGATCCCGTAAAAAATAAATATGATTGCTACCGGAACTTCAAGCCTCTAGGTTGAAGCCCCATGTTCCACTTGGAAGGTAAAGGAAAAAAATAAAAAATTAAGAAAAATAATACAGTAAGCATAAACTCATAGATTCTACAACAGCCTAGTGTAACAATAGTGGTATACACAGATTAGGTTGTTTTGGGCTAAATTCCTATAGCTTCTGCTGTTTGGAGTATCCGGCATATAGAAGCATTTGGCAGTTTACTCGGCATCTGACAGAGGATAGAAAAAGACTCTTCGATGCTGGCATTATGGTCCATTTGGACTAGGTGATCAAATATATCTAAAAACAATTTCCTGTTATTGGCATCAAGAAGTATCATTGGCTTTGTTTGTTTGTAAATTATTCCTTTATCCATCCATTCACCTGCCAATCTTCTTCTGCTTCTCCTTCTTCATAAGTTAAAATGCGTCAGTTGAAGTAACTTTAAAGTGATTGGTTGACATGTATATTTCAAAAGAAACAACCAGGTGACTTTCGACTATTTTTATTGGCTAAGACCAGGTCAGGCATTTTAACTTGAAGTAAAACGTGTACTACTACTATTGTATTTGTCTTAAGCATTGTAAATATGAAGAGCAAATAATATTTAATGAATGACAAACATTTGACTGTATCATAAAGGTATATCTTGCTGCAATGTGAATATGATTATAATTACAAAGTGTATTTGTTGAGTGAATCTTATTACTGAAAGTTGAATTCCAACGTTAAAGTGAAATACACAAGCTCAACATATAACACACCTATTTTTCCATATATTACATTCAATAAAAAAAGAGAAGAAAAGTATACAACAACAACAAAAATGAAATTTAAAAGTACTTCAGTGAGTTATACTACAACTGATCCAGTCGCCTTGGAGACGTTGAAGAAAGCACAGGAAATGCAGTTGGACAGCCAATCTAAGAAGCATTTATTCCGTAGTCACAAGTCGAAAAAAGACTCATTACCTGAACAACCGAATAATAGTCTACAAAGGCGAAAGTATTCTTTATCAACACCAACAGAATTACAAGCTATAGCGGATGAAGAAACTTCAAAATCTTCAGATACACTACAGAAGGGTCAAGTAAGTTAAATATGTTTTTGAAATTTAAAAATATTCAATATACAAAAGAAGTAGATTTACATTATCTTAGGATAGCTACTCTGTGCCTGTGAAACATGTTTGTCTACATAAAAAATAAAATACTACTCATCCAAGGACATCTATTTGCTTACCAAGTATGTATTGGCTTGAGGAAACAGTGTCATGAGGCTATAGGGCATGAGTAGATGTACTACTACCTGATTAAGGCTAGTGAATTTATTAGTATATATATATATTATATATAATATGGATATGAAACTTTAGACTTGGTAATATGAAACTGCATATTAATTTCATACACCTTATTTCCCTTAGTTAATCAATTAATTATTGATTTGTTTTCCATTGAAAATACCACAAATAGTGAGACAGACAGTATTATTTACTGAATGACAAAGTCTCGAATATAGTTTATCGTTCATAGTCATATAATCAGTTGTAATTACAACTGATTACAACTTTAAAACTTGATTTGTATACTTGTAATTCGTCTTGAATCACTCGAGAATACGTGCAACAGGAATGATTCACCACCAGTGCCTGAAATCTGCTAAACTGTGCTAAACCTTATAACAAATGGGAAGGAAGGACGAGAGCCACAAGTAATACTATTCCACTGCGCGTATGTGTGATATCCAATAAGTAAATTAATACAGAATTAATGAATTTAAGTAGATTAATAAACTGGGTGTTATGAGGAGTTACATTCTTTTTATATTCAGAATGATACTTGTTGTAAGCTATCGGGTCTCTAGACGTCTAAAGTGACAGGTTCTTACTGAGGGCATTATCCCCACACCGGAGGTGGTTAATGCTACATAAAATAAAATCTATGTCCCGGTGTTAAGTGTCGTTCTTGTTATTAACCAGTAGAAATTTCTTTCAATACTCCTGCATCTCAGCATCACTTGTAGCTGACTAGCGGCTGGCTAAAAGACGTAGTTTCCTGGAGTTGTGACCAGTGGCATACAGCAGGTTGGTTGTGGAGACAGTGCCTGACAGCTATGCGAAAATCACTGACTGACAGAAACTGGAATTTTTGGACCACTGGATTCCGGTCCAACTGACTGAATGGTCACAGAGCTTCCCGTAGTGCCGAAGAGTCCCAAGCCAGGACGAAACAGCCGTTCAGTACTCTCTGGTTTCCAATCGTTGTTTAACTGACTGACATCAATCCGCGATAAGAGTTGAATCACTTGTAGGAATTAAACAAAACTGAGAAAAAGGGTTTCCGTTATTACTGTTTTTGTTTTTTATCTAGTAAATGGGAATGAACTTTATGAACGTAAAACATTCTCAGTTTCACAATATCCTTTTGGTTCACGTAACAGAAATGAATACAGAAATTAACTGGTTACGTAGGATAGAGAAATGACATAGAGGAAAAGGTTGTAATTTACATTTGAAAATAATACGTGATAAAATACAGCGGAAAGGGAGGGGGAAATAGGGACAGTAGTAAAGGAAAAAGAGTCACAAGCATTATTATAAATAATATTGTTATTATTCCCTTGGATTCCGAGTGGAATATAAATCTTCAACAGCATATCTGAATTCCTCTCTGTTCTCTACAGTTCTTTTTAGCTATCTGCACGAATGAATCCCCGTAAGCTTTCATCTCCCCTTCACATGATTTCCACACCTGTGCGTCGGTGGCACAATTGTTAGGACTCTCGCCGACCATGCATTTGGTCCGGGGTTCGATCCTCTGCCGACGCACACCCGATATCTATGGTCGGCCTGCAAAATTTGGGCTACCGATATCACATGCTGAAAATTCCATACCTGTACCAAAAGATACGGTGTGGAATCAAGCTGTAGTGAAAAATAATAAAAAAAATTCACTGACACAAGTAGGCCAAGATAAACTCGCTTTCTCTTACAATGTTAATTAAATTAATCTGAAAGATTTTCCCTGTACATTAAACTGTAGGCTCATTGTAAACAATTTGTGTAAAAAAAAGAAACTTAAGTCATACATAAACCAACAGAAATGTATTCACAAAAGGCATTCATGTCTCGCATTGAAGGAGATCACCATTCATTAAGTATGTATAATTTTGCGTAGGTCTAAAGTGCAACAAGGTGACGTGTACAAATGTTTACTAGTGTGACTTCTTTGGAAAAGTACATCCTTCTTTCTTCAATGTCACCTACCCCCCCCCCAACCCACTTAACTGAATGTTTTTACAACCAGTTTTTTAAAAGTCTTCATTACCCTTTGAATTAAGTTTAGTGAAAAACAATCAGTTGTTTTTTTTAGTAGTGTGTGAATTTCGTTTTTCTCTTTTTTCTACACAAATACATACACAAACACACACCGTTTAGAATATCATTACAAGCCTCTTCGTTTTCACTACTCAGAGTGGAAACGTTTTGTTTGATCAGAGGAAGTGAATGCCACTCGTTAATTTATTGAAATTTTTTGTTTTAATTTTCCACTGATTCATTTATTTCACCGGACTGGGCTGATCAATCTCTGCTGACCTGTTACCTCCTAGTTACGGATGATGTACCCGATATTATTTGATTTAATAACAGTTGATACCCTTCGGTGACCCACCAGCCCCGGTGGGCAACACTTTGGTGTTTGGAACGACTGATGGTAGTGTCTAGTCTCAGCGGCAACACTCACTAGGGTCCAGGTACATCTAGTTGACGAATCACAGATGGGAAGAAATCTATATGTCTACATTTCAGCTGCCAGCAATCACCAACTAAATATAACAATTCCTTTATTTATAAATCTTCAACTAATTCGAAAGTTTAAAAATAAAAATGATAGTCACCAACAGTTTCCAGCCATTGGATCTTAACTTCTCAAGGTTCCCAACGAAATAGTCTTCTCCCCCCCCATCTATGTGGCTCGAATCAACCGAGAAAGACTTCATTGGTAGATGTCAGGTATTTCTTTGACCACTCCAAACCCTTGTCCAACTTAATTTCATACCCTGGTTAACATCACCCGTCAAGGAGTAAATACTGGAAAACTGTTTCGCCTACATTTGGCACTCTTCAGTAGTGTGAACCCACTATACCACTGAATATATAGAACTGCTTAATCTGAAAGATAAATTAATTGAATGTAAAAAAGATTAATGATTAAAAGAAAGAAAAATTCTGATTGGCTGCTGCAATTCTACAAACAAAGATTTTCTTTTCACAATATCAATCTGTGAGAAAACAAAGTTTCTTGTCTAGGCAGTGCATTTACTAACAAACTAGTATTGATTAAAACAAAACAACTGACCCATTTTTTTTGTTTAGTTGTTTGTTGTTGTTGTTGCTAGTTTTCATGTCTTTCACATTAGAATAAAGTGTAGAGTTCTTTCTAGCTTTATACCTTCAGACTACACTTCTTTCTAGGTCACTCCAGTGTACGCTTATATAAGTTATTTAGTGGGATAACAAGTACACAATTAGTGTACATTTTTTGAATTCTTCTATATATATATATATATATATATATATTATGAATGATTGCACTTAACCTAATTCTGTGGATAATGTTACTGATTGTTAGCATGTTGATGATAATAATGCTGATTATGATTATGATGGTATAAGTTGAAAGGTGATATTTGCTGGTTCGCTCTTAAACTTTCATACATTGTAGTTAAACCATCTTGCTGACTTATCCATCTTTGCAAGATTTTACTTATTATTTAGGCGGATTTACTTTGTCCAATCAGGTAGTGTTACACAGGACAGTTAGCCGTATAGGAACCACAAGGCACTGGCCCTTCTCAGGGAAGGCAAGTTCTAAGATAAGAAGGGAGGAAGATAAAAGTTATACGGTAACAAGACATTTTTATGATTTAGAACCACATGATGTATCATGAATGTATCAGTGGTGTTGCAGAGAAATTCGCTTACTCTTCTAATTGTTTATTGTGGTGTTAGTATAAAATGTTGATTAGAGTTATGGTCAAAAACAGAAAACCATAGGATAGCTTAATTAAAACATGACACCTATTTTGCAAAGCTATAGACTAGAAAGTAGTAACATATGCAAACACACAGACACGAGAATGTGGGCTTGCTAGTTAAGGTATATGCATGCGACGTGCTATGGTAACATGATTAAAAATAGAAATTTGGTGGAGAAATCTAACATCTATGTGGTTTGTGCTAAGTATGAAGTTAAATTAGTTTAATCTACTATACTTTACTTACTCACGTAATAACACAATTACTAAACTACTTACTTACATACTAAGTGACTTAATTTATCACTTATTTACTTGAATAATTATCTGGTTACTTACTTGATCACTTAATTACTCATTTATTTCTTTAACTACTTAATGACCTGAACTGTTCAATTACCTGCTAACGTACTCATTTAGTTACTCCCTTATATACTTACTTATTCACCTGAATCAGTTACTTACTTCTTTACTCACTTACATACTTATCTAATAACTCACTCGCATAATTTCTTACTTGCTTGCTTGCCTACTCAAGTATTTACTAAATCACTCACTCACTTATATACTCATTTCCTTAATCACTAGTTAGTCACTTACTTTTCTGCTTAAACACTGACTTACTCAGTTACTTACTTATTCAATAACGTACTCACTGACTTACTTAATAACCTGGCTACTAATGTATTCACTTGCTTTTTCACTAACTTACTTGGTTATATGCCTAATGACTCAATAGCCAACCACTTACTCACTAGTGTACATACTCAGTTACTTAATCACTCACTCACTAACTCAGTAACTTGCTTAGGTACTTGCGTACTTACTAACTAACTTACTTACTTAATTACCAGCTTACTTGCCCCGCTTAATTACCTCCCTTTTTAGTTTGTCACTGAGTCAGTCAATGGCCAACTTCTGTATTTTATTATTTTCGAGATAAACTATGTGATATTTAATGCTCCCTAGAACAATCTTGAAACTGCCTGCATTACTATCAGAGTCAACAGCACCAAGGTGTATCATCAAACATTGTGTCTTTATCACACC